CAGAGTCTAGCAAAATAAGCTCAACACTTACTGCAGTCCTGTAATTACTGTAGTTAATTACTCCAAGTGTTGCTGCAGGATAAGTTCCATCATACAGTAATGGTTGGTTTTATAATTTGGCTACATAAGAAGCAAAAGAAGAAAGAGACCTTATATCTATCTCTCAATAAACAGACTAAAATCCCAAGGGAACAACTGTTCTCATAAATCATAAACGGGGTTTGCTAAATACTGAGCAAAGACTACGAATATTGCATCGACGGTCAAATAATCATCTCGAGTTGCTGTTAGTTATCGTTTAACTTGATGAGACTCAATAAACTGCTCAAACCTCAATGGTCTGCTTTCCACTGACACAAGCTTCATTGAAATTTCCCTCCTAATGCTGAACTATTGCTCTCGTAGTCCACTCCAAACAACTATTTTGTGATACTTTGAACAACTTTCCACATAGCAGTACTCTTGATTTCTGAATGATGTTTTTGTTTGTCTGTACTGCTGTGCAGCTAACATTTGGACGGTGTATGGTGATACCTCTGAGGACATGACACCTTCGACATATCCTTAAATGATGGGGAAGTAAACCACAAGAAAACTGGCAACAGCAGTGTGATTGTGATATTTTGGCGCAGGATCATGTATTTATACAGTGTTCAGGGTTTACTACCTCAAGTTAGGTCACATGGCCTGCTGGTCTGTGTACTTTACTTTGTATCAGTCCTATTCTTAAACTTTATGAAAGCCTTTGATAAAGTCCCACACAGAAGGCTACTCGTCAAACTAGAGCCCTTTGTAATAAACAACCCACTGTAGTCATGGTTTGCTTCATTCCTAACAGAACGTGAACAGATGGTGAAGTACAACGACATCCTCTCGTCACCTAGACCAATCACCATTGGAGTCATCCAGGGAAGCGTATTAGGTCCACTTTTGTTTCTTATATATAAACGATATGTGTAACACCATAGAATTTGCACAATTGATTGATCACTGGGTGGTGATCAATGTCATGCTTGTCTAGTCCTTATTAGTGCAGATCGAACGCTATCGATCATGTTGCAATGTGGCCACCAGTCTAGGTGACTCGACACTGCGGGCACTATGTATTGAGATTTTAGGTGGTAGTTGGAGGTAGTCAACAGGACTACCTATTGACTAGAGTTCTGTGAAATTAGTGACATTTTTAACAGATAAAGAATCCTGATATACATATTTACTTTTGAGTTTTTGTATTAACAATTTCACTATTGCTGAGATTATGATTTGAAGAAAGATAAAATTGATGAATAACTAATGAAACTATTGAAAACTATTGCCAGAATTTTCTAAGGATATGTGATATTTCGAAATATTTATGTGGAAATTTATTAAGTTCTAAGTATATCATACAACTGTATTTGTTTATTTGGTAGACTATTAGTCTGTACAAGATTCTTATTTGAATTCCTAACAAGTTGTTGTACGTGAAAATGAAGTTGACGTATTTCAGTGGTATACTATTAGTTTGATGACACATGGATAAATGAACAGTCATTGTATGATAGTACGATTGAAAATACCGTATAAATATAGGATTTTCTGTGAAAATTGAATGGATTATTATAACCATTTATCACATTGATTTCTCATTATGATTATTTTATCCCTGTCTTCGTAAATTCCAGTCGTTTCTAGAGTACTCAAAAACGTTAATCTTCTTTTTTTATGAATGTGCCTTCAGGGTGATAAAAGTTTTTACGAATTATTTCTTTTCTTCACATTTACTTTTTAGTCTCGAATAGACTTCTAAATTCATGCCTGTAAAGTACATTGATGAACTACGTGTTCATTTATTCATGTTGTTTGCTACTTGTGAAAAATATTGACAATGCAAAAAATACAACTTTTAGTTTGCAAGTATTATCATAGTGATATTGATTAAAAAGGTTATTTTGAACTAATTATAAAAATGTTGAATTCACTTTTCTGTACCTGTTGGTTTCTCCCAGGATAACATTTAAAAGTAACGTTTACGATTGTAAACATCTCAGTCTTTGAGTGCCTAGTTAAAACAAAGCATTGTGTATAAAGGCACTTGTAATCCATTTAGCACAATTATAATGCATATCCTTCAAATGCTAGTACCAGTTCGCGTGCAGATAAAACAACATCAGATTTAATCTCCTTCTCAATCTTGACCATCTCATATCCACCAAGTCAATGATCATAATAACTGCAAGGTGACCAATTTCTTTCAGAATGTATATCCTCTTGTTTTTCATATTTTCACAAGTTACATTAGTCTGACTCGATCATTTTATTCTTTTACATTAAAGCATTAAATATTGCGCTAATGCAATTCATTCTCTCTGAAATGATTTTCATTTATTTTATCCATTAAAAAATCTGTTGAACAACTAACATGGTTACTAGGCACCCATTACTTCACTGACGCTTTCGAAAACTAGTTTATAAATAACTTCACAGAAATTATGATTTAATTATGTATTTGCTAGGTGTAGTCACATTCAATGACGATGGATTCTCAGAAGTGAACAAGATTGCTGAGATCTGCGGCATCGATTCAAGGACACTTCTCCTGACCCAGATATGCTTCATTCTACAATACTATGAGAAGTGGTTTTAATCTTTGTGACTCTTGTTGGTATGGTGTTTTCCAATTCGCTAAGCCGAGGCACCTTCCCCGATAATTGTAAACTGGTTCACATTGATCCGTCTCTAGAAGAAGGCAGACGCAGCAAACCTTCGTGTTACATGCCGGTAGCACTTCTCCTAACAGCCTCAAAAGTTATATAGTCACGGATATATTATGGTCAACATGATCACTTAATACCCATAAATTTATTTTGATTTCTGGAGCACGGTTTTAGGGTAATCAACTTGCTAGCCACGTTTAACTGATAGAAAACCACCCTTGACCCGAAGGAGAAGGTTGATATCATATGCTTTGGTTTCCCAAAAAGCTTTTGATACGATTAGTCATTTATGTTCTACCTAGAAGCTCAAACGATTTGGCATCAGGTCGCCATTAATTTATTGGCTTATATCATATCTAAATAATCGACTGTTTAGGGTAAGATTAAACCTCATTTTTTCTCGGGCTACAAATGTCTTAATGAGGTTCCCGAGAATGCAGTACTCAGAACCCTTCTTTTTTGATTTACATAAATAAACTTCCTCAGCAAGTGTCGCCAGATTTATTACTTTTTGCTGATGATGTGGGACTCTGGACATCAGTTTACAATCGAGATAGTAAACTCGTATTTCAGGAGGATGTGAATCCACTTAAAAGTTGGACATATGACGACGAACTTCCTTTCAGCACATCCAAGTGTAAAGTAGTCCATCTGAAATATGTTGTAGGCTACGAATACAACTTAGATAACAACCCTCGTGAGGCATCACAAGTTGAAAAAGATCTAGGAGTGTTGGTAACTTATGATCTGAGGTCTTACCCTAACTGCAGCACAAGCGCCTTCAAAGAAAACCTTGAACTGGTGACATTGAAGAGCATTTTTGGTTATGTCGACAGAACTTTCCGCATAATCTTCAACAGTTTTATTCAACCCTATTTAGAAAATGAAAATATTATGTTTCCTCACTCACTCCAGAAGGATAAGGACACGCTGGAGCGTGCGCAGAGGCGAGACACAAAATCATTTTGAGGACTCATATTCAAACCTTATGAAGGGCGCCTTAAATCACTAAATCTTCACTTATTAGAATACAGTCGTCTTTTAGGTTACCTTCTAATGACTAATATTGTTCTAAACACCTCTGAGTATCCCCAATAACACCCACTTAAGCTTAGCCACAACACAAACATTAGGAATAACATTCAGAAACTGGAGACACAATACAGCTGATTGAACTATAGGCACAGAATCTAAAACAAAGTTCAAATGGTTCAAGTGGTTGTGGACGGAATAGAAGAAGCTTTCGCTTAACAGGATTCCGTGTCTAGTAGCAGGGGATCAGCAAATCCTCCAGGCAGAAACCTAGGTATGTTAACAATAAAAGAGGAAAAGAAATTAGTAAATCATAGTGTGATACTATCCTTAGTCCTTAAGAATAGATCAAGTTGCCTCTTAAAGGACTCCTGAGAAGTCGCTTGGACTAGCTCGCTCGGCAGTGCATTCCAGCATTTGACAACTCTTAAGGAGTAGAAGTTATGTCTATAGTCCGTTCTGCTATGTTGTGTCTCCAGTTTTTGGGTGTTACCTCCTAGGTTAGTGTTGGAACTAAGCTTAAGAAGGTGTTTGAGGGGATGTCCAGAAGTGTTAAGGATACTATAAGCCATCAGAAGGTCACCTCTAAGACATTTATACTCTAATGGGTAAAGGTTGAGTGAATGGAGGCGGTCTTCATAAGGTTTAAATTTGAGTCCTCGAACTGATTTCGTGGCTCACCGTTGGATACGCTCCAGGGTATCCTTATCCTTTTGCGATGAGGGGGGAAATACTATGTTTCCATACTCTAAATGGGGGCGGATAAGATTATTAAAGATTATATGGAAAGTTCTTCCATCAAACTGGCCAAAAATGCGCTTCAATGTTACCAGTGAAAGGTTTGCTCGGAAGGCATTTTTGTCACAGTTAGCGTAAGACTTTAAATCGTAGGGCACCAGGACTCCTAAATCTTTTCCGACTTGAGATACTACTAGAGAGGAGGTACCTAAGTTATAACTGTAGTCTGAGACATGTCGCAGATGGAATAATTTACACTTTGAAATGTTAAAGGTAAGTCCGTTATCGTCTGCCCAACTTTGAAGTCGAGCCAGATCCTCCTGAAGTGCCTGTGTATCGTCTTGGTTGCGTATCTCTCTCCAAAGTTGTTACAACACAATACCAGAAGTTAAAACTACGCATCCAAAAACATACTGATGAGAAGGGAAATAAAACAGAGAAATATCTATCTCTAATCATTTGAGCTTAAACTATCGTCTTGACTTTGAAAATATAGAGGCGGTCATTATATGTAAGTCGTAACTGGTCGAGGTCATGAATGTTGTTAAGATAAATGGCGTGAAGGTTTACAATCTAACAGCGAATCGTTCCCTTCCAGAATGGGCCTCGAAGTCTGAGAAGCGTAAAAGGAAGTCAGATATGGAATTGAGTCGGCGCATTGAACTTATTCAGGAATTAGAAATGCCCGATTCAACCACTTATTTAACTTGCTCACCAGATGGTCAGTACTTGTTCGCTCTAGGACGTTATAAACCTAGAGTCAAATGTTACGAACTGTCAAATCTTTCAATGAAGTTTGATCGATGTCTTGACTGTATGCCATATAAAATGGTGTGCCTTAGTGACAACTACTCCAAATTTGCCTTACTGGAGGAAGAAAGATGGGTTGAAATTCATGCTGCTGGGGGACACCACTTCAAGTTTAGAGTTCCGAAACAAGGTGTGGATTTGGATTATTGTCCTTACACGTGTGATCTTTTTGTTGCCTCATCTCGCAACCATATATACCGAATGGATTTGTCCGAAGGTCGTTTCAAAACATCTCTAGTCTCCCAACGTTTAGAAAACTCTAGTCATGGATTAACGGTATGTAGCTTTGAGAGAAATTACGGTTTGTTACTTGGTGCGTCGACAATAGGGTGTGTTGATGGTTGGGATACTAGAACTTCTGAGCATGTATTTGGTCTGAACGTATGTGAATACGCGCCTACACCAGAAGATATCCAGAATAAATGGCGATCAACTGCTGTAACTTGCCTGTCATTTAAAGACTCGCTCAACGTCGCAATAGGCACGGGAGACGGGATGGTATACATATACGACCTTCGTCAAAATCGTAAGCCATGGCACGTCCGGGACACAGAATACAGGGAGCCTATAAAATCCATTCATTTTCATGATGACAAAGTGTTAGCAGCCCTGCGCTACTGCTGTAAAATATGGTCAGTGGATACTGGCAAGATATTTGTTGGTTTCAATATTGGTCCTTCAGATTGTAATTCTATGTATCACTTTCCTAACAGTGGATTACTCATGTTTGCATCAGAGTCTCCCAAGATTTCTACCTACTTTATCCCACTGCTTGGAGAGGCACCTTTCTGGTGCAGTTATTTAGACAGTCTTGTGGTCGAATGCGAACCAGATGTTACAACTATGTATGACGGTTATAAATTCATCACTCGTCAACAGTTAGCAGATTTGGGAATGTCAGAGCTCATTGGAACTCAATTTTTGAGAGCTTACATGCATGGATATTTCATTTCTGCAAATCTGTACAACAAAATACAAGATCATCTGGGGATTAATCAGAAACCCCTTACCCAAACAGTCAAGCTTAACTATCCTGACAACGTACCTAAAGCTTCATCGCGTTCTGAAAATATAATTGCAGAGTTTAACGAAGCCTCAGCCGACCAGCGCTTTTCCAAACTCTCAGATAATCCTAAGCTTACATACAGTACTGTAGATGGCGATTCAGATCTCATACAAATTCATCAAGCAAGATTGGAAAAGAAGCGCAGGCGTAAAGAACTGCGGAAAGAACGAGCTGCTCGAACACAGGCTTTGGTTAATAAAGCCTCTGATGTGCATGTATAAACCTCAAATGTTTTGTATGTAATTGTGTAAATAATCTCTGCAATAAGTTATGTTCTCAAAAATTTTCCGTGTTATTAGTTGTATTTAGTTCGCCTCATATATTTTTCAGCATGAATCGAGGTCGACGTCGTGGTGGCGGTCCGAACTTATCAGGTCTTCGTGATGGTGTGAAACGTCGTCTATTTGATCCCCACTCTGTTCCTACCAAACCTGATCCTAAGTTCGAGGTCAGCCGTTTGATACCTTTCTCCGTCCCTAAGGTTACCATTAACTCATCTTTAAGCGATTCCAGCGCTAACAACAATCCAGACGTAGTAAAAGATGATATCGATAGTTTACAGATAAATTTGGTATGTATAAAATTGCTAGATCACTTCCATGTTCTTACATGTAATTGTAAAACCTCCAGTTGTTTGTCGGATGTAATATTTATGTTCACATATCAACATGTGTTCTGTCATTCGTGGAGTAGTTTGTTCTCGATACGTGAATTACTCATCTTTGGTTCCTAGTCTCATTGTTACATGTTTGTATGTTCCGTACCAACCTTAAAATAAATTTGTGCTCACAACTGTTATTCATGAGGAGATAGTCTTCAGTTATGTTAGCAAACAACAGTTCTCTTACCCTTTTAATGATTGCAGTTCGTAGTCAAAACTAATTAACAACCTTCCTTTCATTAGTATTGTATGATGGTTATGTTATGACCTGGGAACTGCCTATATTTTAATGTCAGAATGCTTAATGTCGGTGATGTAAACATTGGAAGGACCGATAACACCATGTGGGCTTTTATCATCATTGCTGAAACTGCACGTATTATTCTTTGCTTGAGTAGTCCTTAAACATACGTATAAAGAATTAAAATGTCTTCAGATTCAGATGTCGGTTCTGGTTTAGCCCATCATTTTTAGATCAAGATTTATCATATAACACGAAGAAAACTATCTCTTAGTTTTATGAATATCTTAGTTCATAATTCAGGGTGACCATCCTCAGCAGTTCGTATGTGCAAACTCTCAGATATTTGTGCTCGAGTGTGCTGTATATTTGCCATAGACTTAAAATCATTGGTCTGTTTAGACAGTCAGAGTAGTTAGATACTGGATAATTTGGGAACTAGTTTTATACCTCCTGTTGATCGCCACTATTTATTTTAGGATTATAGGGTGAACTGGTTGATTTACTTAAGTTCTCATTGTACCCATTCGATTGAATCCATTGTAATTTGTTAGTGACCAATGACTTTTCAGCAGAGATGTATAGGGCTTGGATATCTTTTATGAGACATCCCGGTATATCAGTGAAGAACTGAATTTAGTGTAGAAGAGAAATTTGGCATACAGAATTAAAATGGATGAAAAAGTTACAAATAACTTGTTTAGTAATCATGAGAAGCTTGCTGAGTTCAGGGGACGAACTAAATGAGAATGCTATCATCCACCAAAAGAGATAACTGCTTGAGATCTATAGCAGTTGCGCAGAGGTACCCGTATGGGATTTCAATATATTTAGTAGATTTATATGCAGTAAAATCTTAGCTGCACATAGTCTAATTGGTGCTTGGTTAGAATTTAACAGACGGTAGGACGTTAGGGAACGCTCACTGATTAATATAGCTCAAATGTATCACTGCAGTAAACAAGTCATCGCAATGTAAAGGTGGTAGCTGTTTGTTGAGAATCAGTGATGTAATTAAATTATACGGCAGTCCCTTTTAACTCATAAAAACACTCCTTGGGGAACACTTGATAGCATTTCAACTGATTTGCTACTTAAGTGAGATTAATTTATCAGTCCTGGCTTGGCATCAGTTCATTAAGTAATTAACATCTTATTTGAGTCTTAAGCAACGGCTCTAAATCTGTTGCAGTGTAGTATATACATATTTCCTTTATCTTGAAATCCCAGATCTTAATATTATTCTGTACCTCCTGTTTCTCGACTTCACTTACTATTTTCGAATAATCTTTCTACTGCCATAAAGGCTACCATTATTTCTACGTCTCATGCTAGTAGTTTCCTCTTCTACTGATCTAATGTAGTACTTGAGCTATGCTTGGTCAGTCATTCTTTACTGAATGACTAATCTGTATTTCGTAGTCCATTAGTTTAGATCTACCTATGGAATGCGTAGTCAAGAAAATCAGTGCATTAAGATTTCTGGTTTTAATCACACACTTTAACTATTCTCAGGGTTAGGGATGAACTAATTAAGTCTTCTACGATGATAAGACGCTGAATGTTCCATTGCCATGTAATAATAACGTACTCATGACCATCCATATACCTCAATCATTTTTTTTGAACTGCTCTCTTACTACGCAGACTATGAGAAACAGGAAAATGATTTGGTTCATCTGATTCTGTGGTTAGTTGTTTGGTCAATGTTTATACTTTCTTAAGCGCCTGATAGCAGTCGTATATATTTCGAGTCCGGTCATATTTTGTTAGGACCTTGTACTTTTGATACAGTTGTATACTGAAATTGTTCTCTATGGTAGGGTTTTGTTGTGCATTATTTTAACATGTCGGAGGCTCTTTGCACAAATACGTCTGATTACGGTATGTAGCTACCTTCTTATCATCGTTAAAAACCAAAAATAAAGTTAAAGTTAGTCAGTTACTCTATGACTTTTGATAGGCCGCTTTTCTGAGATAACTTTTAAAGAAGTCCTTTAGTGTTGTTTTATTACCCATATCCATTTGTTTTCGAATACGAGAATGATTTGATGTTGCCGTATGCTTGTACATATCCTTACCATTGTGTGACATGTTACTTAAGATCGACTCATGTACTCGGAACTAGAAACAATAACATTAGTGTAGATAGTGTACGTCTACAAAACATTGGTTTTCATATGGTAGAACCCACAATATTCAAGTACTAACGAAAACTCTTCGATTTCCGTTACTAAGTGATCCATTTAACAGTTTGATCCCTTAACTCACTCCATACAGGGTCAATCCCCAATGCTCTCAACCACTAACATTATTCGAATTCATCCATCTGTTTTGTACACATGACAGTCTACCAAACGGCTGTTTCAACTAGTCTAGTCAGTAGTTGTGGATGTTGATAATCGTTTTTTGAACACCTTTGGTGACAACCTTGTATTTCATATGTATATAAAAGAACACTTCTAAATATTGCTTTATGATTAGACTTTGATTACTTCTGTATCATAGTTTCTTATAAATTCAGCTACAAACCCAAGACATACTTTGTCCACATTTATAAATCTTCAAAAAACCTCTGGAATTCCTTGTTAACTGAAGACTTTTTGTGTTGATTAGCTACGTAAATATCTCACTTAAAGTCGAGATTAAAAGTTAAAGAATAAGTGACTTTTAATTGCTAGAATTCTCTGACGTTTGTTTTCTAGGTAACTATACTCAAAGGTTTATGTATTGGTAAGACTTTAAGGAACAGAGCAAATTGTAACTAGAAATTAGTAAACATTCCGTAGAAGTGTACGCATGTTTACTCGTGTAAGTACAATAATTTAGTTATAGCGAGACCTTCGGATTATAGATATATTTTATGATTGAAGTACACAGTGACAAATTCGATAATGCATTTTGAAATATACTGTGTTATATAAAATTTTGTCTTGTTAATTTAGTTTGAAATAACGGCCAAAATGGAAGCTGCATTTCGTTCTGGTCCATTTTATCACTCAGTTCCAGAGCTATCAGAAGGAATCGATGTATCGTCTTTATTATCCAGTAACAGCTTAAATCTCAGAAAAAAATCACAAAATATGGTATCTCTTTTACATCTTCTGGTCTCTCATGAAATTAATCAGTGGTCTGACGAAGATATGAACATAAAAGAGCCTGAGGATTTGTAAGTTCTCTACTCATAAAACCTAACTGCGATTACACTGAAAATTTTGTTTATTTTTACCATGTCCTTATACCGTCAAATTGATAACGGAGAATTCCAAATACCTATAACAATAAGTGATATTTTTCGAGGTTAAGTTCTTGTTATAGCTTTATAGCACAGTGTTTGAAGCAAACGGTGTTAGGTTAGAGTCTCACTGAACATATCTACATTTACTGGAATTCAGGTAACTTTAGCATTGGCTTGAAGGAAATGCAAACTCGAGATTGTACTGTGATAATTAATACTGAGCAAATCCTTGTCCATATTGAGTTAGTAACCAACGAATGGAATGTTCCACTTTATTTAGAAGTGTTTTCTTTTTAAAATTCACAAAGTTGCTGTAGCCAACTTGTGGCTTGAATATTATCTTTTATGTTTGAACTTCGATGATGCATATATGAAACTTGATCAGTTATTCTCTCGTACTTACTCAGGAGTAGCTTAAGTATCATCAACAGTTGATTGACCTTTGAAAGTTATCAGTCTTATAGTCCCGAACAAGATTTTGTTAATTAAGTTTGATCAATTGAAAGTGTAAGTCTGGTAGTTTATTTAAATTCTGCCGATTAACGGTGCTGTAATATGCTTTGTACGTTGAATACTAAGCTGTGACATAACTTTAGTTGTGTAGAAATTGTCAGTTAACTGCATAATTAGATCAGTATTTCGAACGAACTAACGTTATTATTTTGTATTTAGCTGGAAAAAAACTACAAAATACGATCGATTCGTCATATTCTGAGAATATTCGATAAAATCCTATTATTATTTATTTTGGTTTGTTGTTTTGTTCCCACAGTCTTAATAATAATACATCTTATGGTGCTCTGTTCCATTATTACTCTAAAATATCCTGAAAATAATAAAAACTGTAAAGCCTAGATGTCTATGAACTTTTTTGATATATATATATATAATTGGTGAAATATAAACAAGTAGTATCTCGCTTACTTTTATCGTACGTATGTCGTTCTCTGACTTTGTTTGTCTTCAGCTATCCCAAAGAACTGATTTCTCGAACCCGAATCAATTTAAAAAGTAATAGGCGTGCCACGCGAAAATCAAAATTGGCTTCTCGACGTAGTAAGCAGAATTACTGCGATATTGATCAAGTTATAACTGACAGTTTTATCCAACAAGTCACTGAAACTCTCCCAGAAAATGACGGTACGTTGTATCTTTGTTTATATAAAGCGATAAGTTTAAGTTGTTGCTAAAATAGGTTAGTTACACATTTTTCGGTTAGGATTATTCATTGTATGCTTCAAATTCTTCATTCACTATATTCCAGAAGTTTTAATGAGTGGAAAAAATAACTTTAGAAATGATTTTGATCTTAATCTTAATATATCCAAAATGGCTATGTAGTTACGAAAGTGAAATGTGCTTACAATAAAAAAAATTCATTCTTTACCAGTCTTTAGGATTCAACTGTAGCCTCTTATATTTTTACTTGATAGTCAGTCCTGATTTCCGATAAAGAGACTTAATCAAAAAGCGTTAAACATGTATTTTATTCTTTCCAGTATTCTGAAGTAGCACTATTAGTGCAGCTAAAAAGCTTGTAACTCATTTCCATTTACATCTGTTAGTCACTCAAATCACCTATAGAATGATTTCATTGCTGATACAAGACATCGATAACTGGGAAAAATATCAGGTAGTTTATACGAGTCGATAATTCTTGAATGTAGTCGTCCCTGCGACTACATCAACCAACGATGATCTCCCCTTTTCTTCAGTCCCAACTTTCGTAAAAGGAGTAGTCAAATTTTGAGCAGAGGATTTATTTGAGTCAATTAAGGAATTGACTTTGGAGACAACTATTACATATCAATATACTTACAATATCTCTCGAAGTAGGACGAAACAGGACTTTTCAAAATATTAACGAACTAATTCTAATAGAAAAATCCTCGACCGTTGGAATTATGAAGAGTGCGAGGCGTGAGGAATTTCATTTCACAAATTGATTCAAAATCACCAGAAACAACAAAGTAGTTTGCATTGTAAGCAATTTTGGGAGAATCAGAGTATTCCCGGCAATTTATTTTTTAAAGCCCGTTTATAAAATATCTATAGATTTTTCTGGATGTAAACTGTTCACCATTTTCAGCTATCAAACCATCATTTTCTCCATAATTCCACATTCAAGAATGCAGATTTCCACTATTATTTATTATTTCGGTTAAAAGGTATCTCTTCTTAGTTAACTGAACTGCAGAGGTCACTTACTCTTATCTGTTACTACCTAGCACACTACGTGAGATTATTTCTTTGTTATATGACTCTATATATGTGTTATTAGATAGTCTGTAGTGATGAAATGACTCGGGACATTTAACTTCAAATGCTAAGGGCATTATATGATAGATCACTCCTTAATTTACGACTCATAACGACCTCTGTTAGCATGAGACAGTTCTTCATTCTCTAGCTATTTTTAACTTGCTCATGTCCCAAATTCTGATTTCATATACCCAGCTTTGAGCCATACTTTAGTTGTTTGAGGGCTAGAATACTACTTGTCTGCCCAAGGCGAAGTAGATGGAGCTGGTTAATCAGTTGATGAGGTTGTAAGTCTTCAATGACTGGGATAGTTGGGCTTCGTGTTACGTATGCCTGAACACTGATTACCACGACGCGCAATGCTGACTAGTGTTGGAGGAAGTTGGGACAAAGTTAGGGGCGGCCGAAGGACAACGTGGCACCAGTCTGTGAAGTCACTAACTTCTAGTCCGAGCTATGTTAGTAGATGCAGACTACTTGGTTGTGGTCCACGTGACTATCGTAACCAATGGTTGGAGACTCTTGGTGACATGGCTCAGAATCGATCACAGTGGCGTCGGTGTATACACTCTTTTTCTTCCTTTGAACTGTGAGATCAAAATTACTGTATAACTTTCTTTCTACGAACTAATTCTTTCTTCCTGTACTATATCCTTATACACAATCTTTCTTTTATATATTGTTACTATTGAAGTGACTACTATGAATTTGGTATTCACCTTGTTGTGCTAATGAGGTATAGCAACTTCGATCGATGCATATATGTGCCTGGTTCAACCTTGTAGCTGACTGATTGACTTCTACCTACCGTGTGATAAACAAGTGCCTTAACTATTATGCTATGACACTACTCGGTGATTGATCAGTTTAATTATAAGGTATTTGTATGATAATCATCCATAGATTTAAATAGTCAGGCGACAGTATACAGGTTAGTAACCCCCAAAAAGTACTGAATGATATGTGACAAGAATAATGATGTCACCAAAAACGCTTATAAATATTATTATCGGGTAATACTATATAGTAACTGCTTCTAAACAATTCAGTTATATATATTAATCTTCTAAAATGTAACTATCCCATTTTCGGTTTTTGTCATAATTGTAGAAGATGTAGAGAAAATCGATGTAAATAATAGTGAAAATGAAGATGCAGATTCAGAAGATGCTCGGTGGAATGGTGATGTCAATCAAAATGATGAAATTGATGAACTTGATGATGATGAATTTGATAATGATTATTGTCAAGAATATTTCGACAATGGTGAAAAAGATTTTAGTGATGATGGTCTAGGTGGTGATGATGTTGGAGGAGGTGCTAAATATTATGAATAACAAATCTCTTTAGAAAAAATTTCTCTTTGTTTATATGAAACAATTTATTCTTTATATATAGATGCATGTAAAATAACACTACTTTCACATTACATTATTTCCAAAAGGTCAAGTACGATTGTATATTTCTAGATTTTTTCATATGTACTATTTGTAAAAATCAAAAGAGATTTTCAAGAAATCATACATTGACAAACTATCTATGTGATTTTATTTTTTTAGTCACAACATGTCGTTGTCGACTTGTATAACCTTAATATATACTATTTATTTATTTTAACACATAGATATTGGTACAAGGAGGCACCAAATACATATGCGCCGCACAAATCTCATTCAATATGTGTGAGGGCTTTGATACTGCCCGGGTGCCCAAACCGAAGCAGGTGGTTTTCTTAGGTGGCCACTCCCCGAGCCTTCGACCTAAAGGTTTGATCCACAAGGCAGTGGAGCATCGTAAGGAGATGCAATCCCATGGGAGCCGGTGACCAACAATTGGTTCGTACGCCATTTGTTCCCGCAGGATACTGGAGCCCATGTGCACCATTGGTTTGGAATCCGGTTAAAGCGCCGGACATTCGCTTTTCGTCCTCTCATTTTCGTAAACACCAGTAATGCCACGAGAAGGCAGTGAGTAGGACTTCCTTGGCAGAGGCTATATATGCGTGGCCATGTGAGAGCATTTGGAGAAGGAGAGCGGACTCTCCCCACTCTCGGCCGTACCAAGGCATTTGGGGGCAATATATACTAAGTACTTTCTAGTGCATTTCCAGGTGTGATGGTTTCAATATTGGTTTTTAAAGACTAAACATCAGTTAATGTGCTACTTTTAGCAACAGTTATGCAGTGAGTTTTGTGCTAGTTAAGAATTTTATATTTTCAATTCATCTTTTTATGCGATCAAGTCCGGTGCTTTAATACAACAAAATGCGCACTACTCTTTTTAGCCCGTATTTCAATTACATTACTTCAGTCTCTAAATTATACCACTAGGACTGCATTTTTAAAACACTAGATATGATTCATTGTGATATGTGCACTTTACTTATTATAAGCAAAGGACAATAAAGTGAAATAAGTTATTTAGTGGTAATACTTGTATGATTGGTAATTTGGAATGAAGAATCTCGTCATAGGCTTTTCACAAAGTGTATGAGCGAAATTGATTCGGGACACACTTATAACAATGAAACTGTTCATGAGTATTTATTACAAATACTCATTATTTCACAGGAAACGAATATTTATATTTCAAAGAGGTTATTGTAGTCTCTCAACAATTGTTTTATGTTCAAAATTAAATTTAGATATTGGCTTCACATATATAAAGCCGGTACTACTACTACTAGTAACAATAATAATTATTTAAAAACATAAACATTGGTACAAGAAGGCACCAAATACACATGCGCCACAAATCATCCGATTTGTATGATGTCTGGTAGCCCAAATGGAAGCAGGTTTCCATTCAACCGAAGTTTATAGAATGCTTCACATTCGTTTGCAATCAAATGTATCCTGAAAATATTTAATGTTTTTCAAATAAGTATAAAGCATACCCGTAAATATAATCAATTTCCTCTCAAACATGTTACTACTTCGTTCGATTGATGTTCTCTTATCAGCTATGTACCAGTAAAATGTTACAATTGTATAAGCTGAACTTTATTAACGAAAATTTAGGGTAAAATCACAGTAAATAAGCGTATTCTTCTATTTCGAGATAATATAGCTGGAAATTTTATTTTCATGAAGGGGAATTAAGTTAACTACGCTTCCTATCCATAAATAAAATATTATTGCTTTTCTGTAACTAATGTTATGTTATTTTCAGTAGATTAATGTAGCCCAAAATACTCAATAGTTCTTTAGAGTCATTATCTAGTATTTAAAATATAAAAAAGTGGAGACTAATTGTAATCGCATTTTAAAGGGTATAAGTGACGATATTTCTAACTTGTGTATTCGTTTGGATACTTTGAATAAACTAGTTCAAAGTAAATGTGTTTAATTGGAGATGTAGACTTCCACGGAGAGTTGTCGAAAATGTGTTTAAATTATATTTTTTAAACACAACTTGATTGATCAATCAATCTAACATCTTGAGTTGCAGGCCCCCAAATACCCTGGTACGGTCAAGAGTGGGGCGAGTCAGCTCTCCCTCTGGAAATGCTCTCACATGGCCGCATGCATACAACCACTGCCATAGAAGTGCTACTCACTACCTTCTCGTGGCATTACTGTTGTTTACCAAATTGAGAGGACAAGAAGCGAATGTCCGGCGCTTTAACCGGTTTTGTGGATATGGAGAATCCACCTTGAAGAGTTGGAAAACCCAGATTCCAAACCAATGGTGCACATGGGCTCCAGGATCCTGAAGGAACAAATGGCGTATGAACCAATCGTTAGTCACCGGCTGCTATGGGACTGCATTTTCTTACGTTGCTCCGCTGCCTTATGAATTAGACCTTTAGGTCAAAGGCTCCGGGCGTGGCCCCCTAAGAGAACTACTTGTTTCGGTTTGGGCACCTGGGTAGTATCCCAGCTCTCACACAAATGGAATGATTTATATGACGCATATTTAATTGGTGCCTCGTACCAATGTTTATGTGTTTAGATAAATTTAGCTGTAGTTAGACATGTAGTTATTTGGCGAATCTGCACATTTTACTGCTTTTGATAACCAAACAGTATTTTACTGTTTTTATGTCTGTGCACCTAGGATAATTTTTACGTAATTGCAACAGCCTTATTTAGGTAGCCAATTAGAACAGTTTGAAAACGAAGATTATTATGATAATTAAAATTGTCTATTAATGTATAAACGACTGACTTGATAAATTCATTTTATGTTGTTTGTTTGAAGTTTCCCATTGACGTTTAAGAGTGTAACTGATCAGTCTCTTAAGACAATCCACACAGGATGCACATATGCCAGTAAGTTACAAACACAAGCTAGTTGCTATCAGGACTCAGTAGCTAAGTGGATAACGCGATGGCGTTTGAAGTGAACGATACTGCGTTCGATTCCCGGAGTGAACAGTAACTCCGGTATGCAGGTACATCCGGCTGACGAGTTCCACTGCTGGTCGTCATCCATCTTTGCTAATAATGATTAACTTGTTAATTATACGTTGTAAATTATGTATTTATTAAATATAGATTTCTACTATTTTATTTAAAATCTATTGAATCTAAAAATTAACACGCCATACATAAACAAATATGTGAATAAACGAAATACATCAACAGGTAATTATTAAATCAATGTTAAAACGTAGATTAATGTAAAGAGATAAAATAAAATGGTCACTGCTATTAGTTAATGAATTAAATACTAAACAGAAATGATAATATCAGATAAAAAATTATTCATCTTTTAATAATAACTTGTAACATAATGAGATACTATGGTTTTCCTTATTCTAATCATTATTTTATGCCTTAAGCCAGTTTTCATAGATTCATTTTAATGTGGCTGTGACAAATTTTTAACGTTTGTTAATTTTCTTGTTTTACTGTGTTCAGTGTATTTTCATTACTCCGACTGGCAGTACCAATTCCAATCTGTGAAACCTGGATTTTTGATACTATTGTATTTTGTAATCGCTCCTAAAAGAATACAAAAAAAATCCAATTAGTAGCCATGAATTCGATATGCTGTTTTGAAGTGATCGGCTCAATTAGAGATATTGCCAAATATTAATGGATAAAATTATTTTATTACTACTTTGCTTTAATATGTAACTTACAACATATAGCGAAATGAATTCATACAATTATTTCTATTCTCAATGGGAAAAGGATAAAATAGTAAATACAAATAATTTTTGGTGAATAGTAATGGGCAATGTTTTCAAATTTGCACTAGTAGATCCTATTCATTGATTTATGCTTTTTTTCAGCTTTCATAATTGTTGGGTATGTTAAATCAGTGAGTAAAATCTTGTAGTAAGGAGTCATGTATAAGATGATGTCTTGATGCAGTATGTGATTCATTCATGCATTATATTAGTTTTGTATAACTTTTCAGTAATAACATTCGTTTGTATTAATTAAGTGTCATAATTTCGTTAACTAATTTACATCAGTGAATCTGTCTATAAATTAGTCAATTCGAATATTGCATCTATCTTCTTTGGCCTTTATAGGATTTATTTTTCTTACAAGGTTTACATTTTGGAGTAGCCAGGAGAAAAAAAATGGGTGGGTATCTAGGGCATCTCAAGATATCAATTTTTAAGAGGATCTTTTGTGATATAAATGGATGCTCTCTATTTGTTTTTTTTCAGGAACTAACATTAAACTATTATAATCGTAGATAACACATTAAACTCGTGCACATGGGAGTTTATAATTTTGTTTCTTGATAGGAACTGACTATATTACACAACATTAAGTTGAACCATTTACTAGAGGGCTAATGCTATAAACCATTACTGACAGATTAGTTTTGGCCAGAAAGAAGCTCAAAATCGTGAAATAGTTTCTACTCAGCTATGTGACATCCGAAAATTCACAGTAATTTTTTGACAAAAGATGATACTCATCAATTGATAATCGCTATGGTATCGTTTATTTTCTTAATATTAAACTATTTAGACACGAATCAAGTTTGCAAATGAAACAATACAGAGGATAAACTTAATGTGATCCGTAGTACTTTTTTTAGAAGCTAACTAATCATCAAGTCAAGTACCATGTTGCTAAAAAATCTTAGATAATTATTCCTCATGCTCTGGGAGTAATTTAGTCAGATGATGAATTTCTTAACTAGATTTCTTAGCACGTATTTGTCCGGGTTTATGGATAGAACGCATTACATCAGACAATTACAATAAATAGAAATCTATAAAATGGAGGGATATGAATCCGAATCTCTAAGAATGGTGGTTTAGTTGGCGGCCAGTCAATCGTCAAGATTCAACTACCAATCTGATTTACTGTTATTAAACATGTGCTACTTTTATACAAGATAAGTGTGGTTGTAAAGCAATATGAACTGTGAATATTTTCAAATCAAACGCCACTTTGAAATTCTAGCTTCATTTTATCTAGTTGTACCATTGTCCTCACTGTATTTTCTAACCCTGTAGTTGATAGATAAATTTTGAGTCTCATATCTAGGCAGTTACCTTTGAAGTTTTTTATTTGACTCATCTGGAGACTAATTCTAAGGTTTTATATATTTAAAAGAGTTCATGCTTTGTCGCTCTGCTCACTACAGTTTTCAGATCCACCAACTCTCGGATTTTTTCTTAAGCACACAAAATCTATCGACAGTAATATTGTGGTCATAATTAATAATATATATTCAAATGGAACCAGTGAGTTATACAGTTGTTCTTCAGCTCCAATTTGCAAGTGTCTCTATGATTCAGTGTCTAAATCATAACTAGATACTATTTCATTTGTTTATCTATTTTGAAAATCTGTTTTCTGATTCGCATATCTAAAACTTATTTACAAATATATATATATATATATATATATATATATATATATATATATATATATACTCAGCTGTTAATGGTTTTCTCACATGAAGTACGAATTTTTATGCATATTTCACATCATTTTGTAAGATTTCCAAAATTATTAACCAACAGACGTTAAATACACACACACACACGCAAACGGAAATCATATTTACCAACTACCATTTCGTTAAGATACTATCAATATCATTCAAGAAAATAAATATAAGACATTAGGTGGAAAAGAAAAAGAAATTAAGCTATAAACTGTAGTGATATATGTGTCAGTATCTTTTCGGATGACCATGAAAATTTCCTGTGTTGAAATATTTAGAATTGAAAAACGCTCTATTTCGGCAACAATTATTTTCTGAGTAGTTCATGCATGAAATATAACAGAGTATCAGGAACATTTATAGAATGAAATAGAACAAAACAAAATTCACTTCACTTCTACTAAATATGACTGGTTTATCTCATACCCTACATGTTTATTCAATTTCATTCTTACTGGAAAATGTTGGAGTAAATTTTATCCACATTAAATATGAGAATAATGGAGATAGAGTTAATTACATATTTCATTCTGAGAACCCATTACAGATTCCTACATGTAACTTGATATATGTGTACAAGACCTGGCCTAAACTGAGTGAGTTGGTAATTTTTGGGAAGCTGGTGAAAATTGTCCGTTGCACAGTTTTAATCATATATTGAATTTAACTAGTGAAGTTTTGGAAACCAGAAAGCATTGACTTGCTGTATTGTGCTAGTACTAGATTCCTCAGTCGGAGATCGAACAAGTGCTTAGTACTAACTGATTTTCAATGGTTTTCTAATTAAAGTTAATCTGTGATGTAAACTATAATCAGATGATTATTTGCTAGAGGTTTTTTGTGATCATTCAGTATTAAAGTCATAAAGTTAGTTGTATGGACTCTAAGGAAATTAATTAACATCTTGGTACTAACTAGGTAAATTAAACTATAGATATACACCAGTTACATTGGTCACTTTGAGGAACATGTTGATCATATGGAATTATTGATCAGTTATATAAGAAAGAATTCGCAATTTTTTCCCATCAGTTTTGTCTGTCCTTAAATAACTTTTGAACACTTTCTGATCATTCAGTGCCTTATTTTCATTCCAATGTTCTAAAAATCAACTGATCAGCTGAAAGGCATTGACCCGTGATAATACAAATCAATAATCAGCTACCTGACTAATCATCCCACGATAAACTACTGAGACTAAAAACTGAAGCCATACATTCTCTCACATTCACTGAGTGGAAGGAAATTAATTTTTTGTGAACCTTTGATCCTAATTTTACTACATCTTGCTGCTCACACTGCTTTTAACTGTTTAAATTATCTACACCCAACTTACTGTCATAGAATTATCGTTATTTGTATTAACAGTTGATCAAAACAATCAGGGAAGTAATTTAAAGTTGATATGATTTATTTTCAATAAATCCAATGCTTATTATATAGCAAATATATGATTATTGTACTTTTTGTGAAATCAAGGAGGTAATAAGTCTGTGGGCCAAAGATGTCTGGTGAGGTATGAAAATTTGAAGTAAAGAAAATTGCTCATTCACTTCATCGAAATCTCAATAATATCCAATTAATGTGAGATTGTCATAAAGGATATCAGGATATACTTTCCCGTTCAATAATAATATTTGAACAACAAAACTGATAACCTTTCTCATCTTATTTATTCACGGTTAATATTGCCCATGATACATATTATGTATCAGTGCAAATGTCTCTGTCAGCAGCTTAAGAGAATTCACGTAATTTTATGAATCCATACAACCATACTTCAAGTGTTATTCTTGATATATTCAAATTCATTAAGAGATCGAATTATAAGAAATATTCATCAACTGAATTCCAACCGAAACAATTAGATGCATTACTCAATAGTGGACATTTTTTATTCAAATACTCAATGTTTACAATTGTTCTGTTTCAAATAGTCTGTTAACAGTCGTTCAGTGCATTGTAATTCTTAGAGTACATTTGTGATTTATTTCCAAGACTCTGAGTTTATCAAAAACGATTGATACTATTTTCTTACTATAACAACAATAAAATTCCGATTTATATATTATATTAGGATGGCTTCATCAATGTTGGCATTTCTTCGCTTAATAATTCAACCTCTAACGAAAACATTAATCCAAGTTCTGTCTGCTAACAATCTGAAGTGATAAGTTTATTTTATCAGAATTATTCTGTTTATGGCTCATCGAAACATTTGAATGAAGAGAGAAATCTCGAAATCAACCTTTCTTTTTATTGGAGTAACTTCAAAATTTTATTTACTCAGTTTTAAAACAAAAATGAAACAGAATACTATCATTTGATCTAACCTAGAATTCTTATTCATCTCTACATTAATTAAAATCAATCAGTTCAAGGTTGTATTTTTTAAGGAAACATATCGAGATCTGTATAAGTACATTTAACTGAAAGTTTATAGTGATTCAGAAACATGAACTGAATTTCATTTTTACAAGTCTTACGAAACGATCCTTCTTAATTCCGAACATTATTTATTCTAGAAGCAGATAAAAGTCCAATGAGATGAACAACTGTGTGGTAAAAATTGGTTGAAAATGTATATATATATAGCTTATGGTATCCATATTCTCTACTACTATTGGGTTAAAGATTGGGGCAAGTTCATCACACCTTGATATAGATAAGCATTACCACTTCTGACTGATAAGTTGTAATGGTTGACTTCTAATTTCTTAGGAAGAAAGCAATACTGTTTTATTTCTGAACCAAAAATATTGGTGTGCAAGATTAAGAGAAAAGTCGCAGTTCGAAGCTTCGTCGTAAAAGTAATTTGTCTTCATCACTATCTATTTCGCAAATTCAACTAAATTTTATGCAAACCTTCATCCATATTTAAACGGATAGTTTCCACAAAATTGGCAACCGAATATCCAGAAATCACATGCATGAAATCGTGTTTATAAAAATTATAGTTATTAAAATATTGGAAGTTATTGATTCCAGTAGCTGAGATACTAAGAAATAGAAATTTATATCAAGTATAACACTTTTATAAACATTATTACTGCAATACAATCATTCTTGAAGATTATGCATTCATTCGGGTATCTATTCATGTCCATCTTGCAACCGTACTAGATGTTGCTTCACGATTTCGTGCATAATCATCTTGAATAATAATAATAAATCTCGTGTATCATATACAGAACGACATAAGGATTAAATGCAATGAGAGAGAGAGAGATCTATGCCTACATGACTATGAAAAAGTTCATAA